GACGCCATGCCCTACTGAGGGCAACAAAGAGAGACTCTGTTTCAAAAAAAAAAAAAAAGATTATAATGGAGCTAAAAAATTCCTATCATCCAAATGCTGCAGCAGAAGCATTACTGTGTGTATAGTGATGCTTATGTAAATAAACCTACTGAGCTGTCAGAGTACATACAATTATGTACAGTACATAATACTTGATAATGATAATAAAGAACTATCTTACTGGTTTATGTATTTACTATACTATACTTTTATCATCATTTTAGAATGTACTATTAGCTATTAAAAAGAAAAAATTAATGTCTTGGCGCCTGTAGCTCAGTGGTGAGGGTGCCATGTATACTGCGACCCTGCAGGCAGGCAGGCAGGCAGGTTGAAACCAGCCCTGGGCCTGCTAAACAACAATGATAACTGCAACAACAAGAACAACAAAATAGCCAAGGGCAGTGCCTGTGGCTCAGTGAGTAGGGCTCTGGCCCCATATACCTCAGATGGTGGGTTCAAACCCAGCCCCGGCCAAACTGCAACAAAAAAAAGCTGGGCGTTGTGGCAGGCGCCTATAGCCCCAGCTACTTGGAAGGCTGAAGCAAGAGAATTGCTTAAGCCCAAGAGTTAGAAGGTTGCTATGAGCTGTGATGCCACGCACTCTACCAAGGGTGACACAGACTAGAAAAAAAAAAAAAGGTTAAAAACAGCCTTAGGCAGGGCCTTCAGGAGGCATTCCAGGAGAAGGCGTTGTTATTATAGGAGATGACAGCTCCATGCACTAGGTTGCCCCTGAAGACCTTCCAGTAGGATAGTTTGTGGAGGTAGAAGACAGTGACATTAATGATTCTCACCCTGTGTAGGCCTAGGCTAATGTGTGTGTTGTCTTAGTTTTTAACTAAAAAAAAAATTTAAGAAGCAAACAAGCCAGGCGTGGTGGCTCATGCCTGTAATCCCAGCACTCTGGGAAGCCAAGACTGTGGATTGCCCTGAGCTCACAAGTTTGAGACCAGCCTGAGGAAGAGTGAGACTCCATCTCCAAAAAAAACAGCCCGGTGTTGTGGCAGGCACCTATAATCCCAGCTACTTAGGAGGCTGAGGCAAGAGGGCTTGAGCCCAAGAGTTTGAGGTTGCTGTGACCTATGATG